CGTATGTACTTTCAAATGCAAAGGAATACCACCAAGTTTGCCATTCAGCAAGGTATCCTGGACGGGCTCTGAAATCATTAGGGAGGTCTGCACTGTAATGGGTGCGCATTATGTTAGCAATTTCAATACAACAGAGAAATGGGCTTCGATTCTTGAGAGAGTATTCTTTCTTCTTGGTCTCTTCCGAGAAGCCCATTGAATAAGGAATTGGCATGGGAATTGCTTGCCAGAGTCCAAATTGCCTAGCACAATATTGTGGAGAGTATACCTCAAACCCAGGATAGAATCGACCCTTCAATGAAGTCCATATGGGAAGATCTACTGCAAATAGAGTACAAGTCCAGAAAGGCCTATAAAGATTGAATCGAGCTGGATCGAACAAATAATCAAATTCTCCATGGCCATATTTAAAGAAAATGACTCGGTCATGATTCAGTTCAATAAAAGCTCGAAGATAGAAGATAAAAGGAGGAGCTTGAGAAGCAATATGTCGAGGGGAACAGCTCAGCAATCGACACCCCAGGAGTAAAGGTACAGGTCTTCTATACCCTTACAGAGACAAATGGGGAAGATGACGATCACCTTTACTAAAAAGGAAAGGGAAATACAAAGCCATCCATGCTTGAAGTATCCAAAAAGCGCCCGAGATAGTTCTAGAATCCCCGAACTTTATCGCCCGAGAAGCATGAGTAAAGCCTCTATATAAAACTGCAAGAACAAGAGGGGCCATGCGAGGCGTTGTCCCGTGGCTAGGGCTGCGGCAATTTGCAGATAGTCTTTGCAAACTTTAAGGGCAGGACCCGAAGCTCGATGAAATTGAAACAAGAAATTGCTGTATGCCAGAGCATCTTCAGAGATAAAAGGAGTGGACAGTACAGGCAAATTCTCGACGGCGTGACCAACCAATTCAAAACCCGCTATGACAAACACATCGAGCATAGTGATGGACATGTGGCCCCAAGGAAAAAAGAAACAGTTGCTATAAGAGGACCAGAAAGTGATGACGGAGCCCAATAACCCACGTTCCAGGTCATAAGATGACATACTAACCTCGAGATCGATGTTGATTATGACAGCTGTCCATAAAAGTCGAGTTTCTTGGTCAGCCTTCAACCGAATAAACCATTTGTGAAAATCTTCTTCGTAAGAAGGGAAACCTCGAAATCGAGAAGACCCGGTGGACCACACATCCGTAATAGAAGAATGTTGCAGTGCCAAAGTCTCACTGTGTTTATACGAGAAATGGAATTGGAGATTCACAGGTATATTGAGATGGTCCATGAAACTGGGGCCCGGAGAGAAACAGTTGCATTCATCCTCGACAGCTTTCAATAAATGAAAAAAGCAATTACCAGCGCGTGGATCGTCTTTAAACTTATCAAAAGCTGCGATGTAATCGCTGGCTGAATATTCAGACTTTTTGGACGCCATAAGAAGCGATGGATCTAGATTGGAAAAGGGTTCAAGAAATGATTTTTAGGGTTAGAGAAGAAGACGCGACGGTGAAACAAGGTTTTTACAAGAATAAAGGATGAAGAAGACGATTTGAAAAGTTACAACTGTTCGGGGAAGATACGAGGTGATGTGTCCAACAGGTATTGGATGAAGAATTCGTAGGGAATGCTCGAAATGACGTCAAAGGACAGAAAAGCATGATCATCGCCTAGGGATTCGTACACAGACAAGGTACACCTTTAAAAGAAATAAATTCAAATTTATTCCTTTTAAAAGGGGGCATATGTTGACACCCAAAATTACTCTTGGTGGGAGTGGGCCGTTCACAAGTTACAAAAGATATAAAGTACGGCCCACATGGCGAAAATCCGAAAAAAAGCCACAAGTCAGGCCCAGAGGCATTAAAAAGACCTAAGGAAATTATCGACAGGACAAGTCATAGAGGTGTCGACAAGTTTAAAATCACGAGCCTTGCACGTGACATCGACGAGTTCAAGATCACGAGCTTTGCACGTGACGTCGACAAATCTAAGATCGTGAGCTTTGCACGTGACGTCGACGGATCCAAGATCATGAGCTTTGCACATGACGTCGACAAAGTTCAAAATCACGAGTTTTGCACGAAATCATGGTAATACGTGGTGAAAAATTCATTTACACGTGTCAAAAGATAAAGATATGACCGTGGGCGTGAAGAATGACAAGAAATAAAGAGACACGTGGAAGAAAATTAGCTACTACGTGATGCCCAAGGAGCGTAAGCAATGTCGACAAGTCAGGAAACGGTTAAAACGCGAAACGTAAGGAAGTGGAAAACGACTTTCAAGGAGAAGTGTTCAGTCAACAATTGTCAAGCTGCTCTATAAATACTCAAGGATTTCCAACGCAGAGAGGATCGACTCTCGCAAACAACACAACATATCTTTTATCTAGCTTTACTTTTAGCGCATTATGAGTAGTTTTAGCTGTAATTTTCAGATTTTGCGTCGTAGATTCAATTCCGGCAAGAATCTTTATCAGGTTCAACATTGTTGATTAAATTCCAACGTTGTACCACCAGTTCAGCGTCGTTGATTAAATTCCGGCGTTGTGCTTAGAGTATAGCTGTTGATTAGATTCCAGCCATATTCTCTCAAGTTACGTTATTGATTAAATTCTGGCGTACTTTGAATGTATTGTCGAGTTTGGCATCATATCAAGTCAGGGTGTAAGATCTATTGGGATTAATAAACGCATTTGACATTCTCTGTCCAAGCTTGACTCAAGACCCTGGTCTCCTCTAATAAAATCCGAAACGCAGCGTTCGGTGAAAGATTTTCGACGGAATAAAAACCGGCAAAACACCCAGGTAAGAACCTTCTCTGTTCTTTGATTTTGGTTCATTGCAACATGGAAATGTCCAGATTTCATCAGGTTTTTATTGCTTTTCCTTCTAAGTGGATATGCGAAATTTTGGGCAGGCGACACTCGGGATTGGTGTTGCCACCAACAAGAGCACGGTCCAATGCAATGTGGGCGATGCGAGTCCTGTATTTATATGCTCCTTGTTTCCAGGAAAAGAAGAATCTGCTTAGATAAATTTGGAATTTGACGAATCCCATCAAGTCATTTTTTCTGTTCTCGGTGTTCGCAGTGTTCACCTCACAGGTTACTACCTGGGAAGAGGTCGAGAATTTGTTGATGACTTGTATCCTTGGTTGAGTTATTACATGTCGTTTCTCATATACTTTTGTTTTTTAATTGTATAAGATGATGGGTTGGGTTCCATTACATCATTTTATCCATGCAAACATTATACATGTTGGGGTGAGCTGAAAAGGTCAAGAAGTACAAATCAGTGTCCGTAGGGACTTCGCTTTCTAAACTGTTTTATACACTAAATATAGAAGCTTCATTCTAGAGTTCCATTCCTTTATAATAATTATTAGAGAGTCCTATGGAGAAGATATTGCGGACACAGAGACAGATATTTCTGAGGACGACGACCAGTATGAAGATAGCTTTATCAATGATGGTGATGTTGAATTCCTTCCACCTTCTCCTATGCCAAATAAATCAGGTATTCGTAGTTTAACAATGTTCTTTTCTTATTTCTCATGATAAGCTTGTTGATGAGCTTCTACTTGGAAAATTATGTATGCACAGCTCTTCATTCTTTATTTCTAAAGGAAAAGAAATTCTCGATTTTGAGAAATCAATTAGATTCTGTATAAAAAGAACATTCCGGAATCTATTGTGATTAGCTGTCGATGTCACAACAATGCAATAGACCATTTTGCTTTGTTAAATTACACATATAAAATCCTTGGAGTTGGTTTAATGCTTCGTTCAATTCTTGACATTGCTTAAACTCTTTGTGCGTGATATCAGTAACACCTACAAGCAATTACAACAGCATATATTACTAATCTTTCACTTTTTTCAGATTCCATGAAATCTTTGAATAATTTGCATTTTGGGTCACTATTTACCAGTAGTCCAGCCATGCATTTGTAAAATGAAATGTGAAACTCGTGCACTGAGTCTAGTCTATTTTTACTGCTAAAGATTGTTGCATCAAAATCTTCTGATGAGTTGCTTGCATCCTGCATCGAAGTAGGACCAGTCAAAAACCTCTAGTAACTCGTTTCTGGAGGCAAAGGCAATATCCAATAAATTGTTGCTTTTATCTTTTAGAAAGAAAGATTATTGACGATGAAGTATAAAGAAATTGACCTTTAAAAACTTCGCTGTCGGCATTTTTTTTTTATTTGGATTACTTTATCGATAATATAGTATCAACTTTCACAAACAAAATATACTATTTGTGTAACCATAGAAAAAGAATATGATGTTTGAGCAATTTGTATGATTATGTGACCATAGAAAAAGAATATGATGTCGGAGGATTCTGCTTTTATTTTCATGATTGCCAGATAATCTTATATAACTGATATCATTCTTCACTTTGAAATGTGAAATTGCTTCTCCTCCTTGTATTCATGTGATGTCATTGGTGCTTTTTTCTTTTGGCCTTCACCATGATGGAGTTGTCATATTGCATTATTCTGTTTGTTATGGATTTATTAATGTTGTATGATCTTGCATCATGCCAGATTATGTTTTATAGTTCTTAGCATTCTTGACTTTGAAATTTGAAGTTGATTTTCCTTCCTACATTCATATGATGGCATTACATGGACAAGTACATACATGTTGGTTGCTCTTATTCTGCCCAGTTTTGCATCTTCAGTTTAAGAGAATGTTTATATGGCGTGTTTACAATGTGAGTTTTTAATGACAGAGAAGGAGAAACCAAACCACAAGAAAGCAAGGAAGGGAAAAGACCATCGTCAACGACTTAGGAAAAAGCATGAAAAAGGCAAATCTGATAAGGTCAATAGCTTGCCACGAGAATTCCGAGGCCCTGTTGCTAGAATCCGACGAGGAAGATTTCTTTTTTTTTTTTTTTGGTTAAAGTAAGTAAGGAAGATTTCTTTGTATCCTCTCTACTTAAGAAAAAGTCTTCTGCGAAGGAGTCAGAAATAAATGCCCCAGTTGTAGTCATGGAAACACCACTTGATTTTGTCAAGAAGAAGCGAAAGCAAGATGGAAGCACCGCTGTGAAATCATCTGAAAGTTTGTCTCCTACTGTTGTTGGCGGTGAACCTAGAAGGTAATTGATTAAATTAGAGACATAACAACATATTACCTTTTTTACTTCTTCCACAAGAAGAGAATTCATTGATTTGCTGGAAATGCTTCGTCTTCGCACTTATCTCAGTTTGAATAGGTTGTGTAATGTCTAACCGAAGATAAGTGGTTAAGGAATGGACTCTTGACTATTGTGAGACATGGAACTTATGTTTTAGTTACTCAACTAAAGCAGAAGGCCTCCCTATAAACATCATAAAATCAGATACACATGGATGTGTGATTTCACCTGACATCTCGATACAATGGAATCAGCACTGCAAAGAAAATGAAGAGTAAATTGCATATCGTGGAGGGAGAGACGCAGAATCAAGCATGGCAGGAAGATAAGGAGCCAAAAGCCGATGATCCGAGTAAGAAGTGAGTACCTTTATGTCATTAAGTTCTTTTTGACCTCTCATTATCCAGACTCGCATATATATTGGTGCTTGGATGAATGCATCGATCCTATAGCTGGGTGTCCTAGGGTTCATTCCACATGTAATCTTTCGACGTGATGTAGCAACAAGAGTTGGACCGCACTTGAAATAATGAAAGACCACCATTTGTAGGTCACCCCTTCCTACCTTTTATTCATGTAAGTGACACCACACATATGTATATGATGAAAGATTGAAGTACTAGAAATTTTTCAAAATGATTGTGCTTGAAGCCTTCGAGCAGACTTCAGAATTTTTTGTCTTGGAACTCTTATTGTTATGGCTTGTTAGTGCAGATAGCTAAGCATGAATACTTCAAGAGTAAATAATGAGCGATGACCTTTCTACTTGCATTTGCAAACGATTCGTATTAAGTATAATGGCAATCACTGGTCGGTTGACTAGACACTAATGACAGTGGTTAAACAATCCTTATAACGAGGAAAAATTGAACTTTACCTGGGTTTTTCTTAACTGTGATGAGTAGGAGTTATGCTGTTGAAGTTGAGCAAGTTCCAAGCAGAGAGAATTGCAAGAAGTCCAGAAAGAAGAAAAAGAAGGACGATAGCTTGCCACATCAGAATCCCGAGGCCCAGTCGTCAGAACCTGATGGTGAAGATTTCTTTGTATCTTCTCCGCTTAAGAAAAAGTCTTCTGCAAAGGACTCAGAGACAAAGATCCCAGATGTAGTCATTGAAACACCACTAGATGTTGCTGAGAAGAAGCAAAAGCAAGATGGAAGCACTGCCATGAAATCATCTGAAAGGTTGTCTCCTTCTGTTGTTGAGGGTGAACCTGGAAGACTGAATTGGAGACTTAACAATGTGTTACCTATTTTACTTTTTTTATGAGAAGAGAAGTCATTTATATGCTGGAAATGCTTCAGCCTCGCACTTATCTCAGTTTGAATAGGTCGTGTACCGTATCATATGACCAAAGATAAATGGTTAAGGAATGGACTCTTGACTAAAGTGAGACATGGAACTTATGTTTTAGTTACTCAACAAAGTAAAAGGCCTTCCTTCAGACAAAATGTTTACATACATGTGGAAGCACATGATTTGATCTAACATCTGAATACATTGGAATCAGCTCTGGGAAGGAAATAAAGAGGAAATTGCTGTTCATGGAGGAAGAGAAGCAAAATCAAGCGTGGCAGGAAGATAAAGAACCAAAAGCCGATGATCCAACTCAGAAGTGAGTACCTTTATGTTTTCATGTTCTTAATGGCCTTTCATAAACCAAACTCACATATGTAATGGTACTTGGTTGAATGCATTGGTCATATAGCCGGGTGTCCTAGGTGTAATCTTTAGACGTGATGTAGCAACATGAGTTTGGACCCCACTCAAAATAATGAAAAAACTCCATTTCTAGGGGGCCCCTTCCTACCTTTTATTCCCGTCAATGACTCCGTGCATATGTATATGTTGAAAGATTCAAGTACTAGCATCTCACAATATGATTTTGCTTTTAAAGCCCTCAACAAATGTTCATAGTTTTTCCTTTTGAGTAATAAATTTGGAAAGACCCCTTGATTTTTTTTTTAAGACTGTTTTGAACACAATTGGTACATCTTAAAATAGCTATTACCCAGACATATTTACCCTTGGCCTCTTCTAGTTTTTTTTTTAATAAATGAGAAAGGATCTTGGAACTCTAATTGTTACGGCTTGTCAATGCAGATAGTTTTTTTTTTTTTGGATAACCCAGGAACCCCCCGCACGGCCGACAGCCGGAGGGATAAACCTGGGGTGACGCTAGCGCAGGACCCACAACCACTGCGCCACACTTAAGAATCCCTAACGACTACGCTGGGGTTCGAACTCTGATCCCTTCGTGGGGGGACAAGAGTGTAAAAGAACTGAGGAATTTTGGAATGAGAATTCTGTTCTTCATTGCCACAGAAACGTAACATATATACTAGAAGATACAGCTATCAAACAAACTCCTAATTAGGCTAAACTACTAAAAATACAAGGATCACACAATAAAAAGGAATAAAAGATGTGCACACAAAACTTCCTAAGTAAACGGCCTAAATAAACGGCCTAAATAAAAGCAGATCACAGCTGCCTTTCCAATACCCCCCCTCAAGTTGGAGCATGGGGATCTCGAATGCCCAACTTGCGAAGAATAAAGTTAAATTGATCCTTTCCCAACGCCTTCGTGAATATATCAGCTGGCTGCATTGAACTACGTACGTAATCTGTTTGAATGTTACCATTAAGTATCTCATTACGAATAAAATGACAGTCCACTTCAATATGCTTGGTACGCTCATGATAGACAGGATTGGCGGCTATATGTAAAGCTGCCTGATTGTCGCAATACAAGTGCATAGGTTGAGAATGTGCCACACCAAGAGAATCCAATAATCCTTTCAACCACTTAAGTTCACAAACTGTAGTAGTCATAGACCTGTATTCCGCTTCAGCGGATGAGCGAGACACTGTCTGTTGCTTCTTAGTCTTCCACGAGATAGGAGATTCTCCCAAAAGAACAAAGTAACCAGTCAAAGATCGTCTCGTCAAAGGACAACTAGCCCAGTCAGAATCGCAGTAAGCAGACAATTTCAGGTCACAATTGGCACGCAACATAATACCCTGACCTGGATTTCCTTTCAGATAACGCAGAACTCTCACAGCTGCCTCCCAATGAGCTTTCTTTGGCCGCTGCATGAACTGTGCAAGAATATGCACACAGTAAGACAATTCAGGTCGAGTTATTGTTAGATAAATAAGCCGACCCACTAGGCGCCTATACTGAGCAGGGTTGTCTACATCATCGCTCTCAGTAAGGGCTAGCTTGTGATTTTGTTCAAGAGGAGTTTTAGCCGGCTTAGAACCCAGTAATCCGACCTCAGAAATCACATCCAACGCATACTTACGTTGACACAAGAAAATACCATCCGAGTTTCTCGCCACTTCAATCCCCAAGAAAAATTTCAGCTTCCCCAAGTCTTTCATATGAAAACAACGACTCAAATAGTTCTTGAACGTTTGCACAGCGGAAATATCATTACCGGAGATAATGAGATCATCAACATAAATAAGCACATTCAATTGAACAGTCCCAACTCGAAAAGTGAACAAGGAGTAATCTGAATATGATTGTTGAAATCCATAAGCTTTCAAAGATGCAGCCAATTTCGCAAACCAACATCTAGGTGCTTGCCGCAAACCATATAGAGATTTCCGGAGTCTGCATACCTTCCCTGATGATTGAGAGGCAAAGCCAGGTGGCATCTTCATGTAAACCTCTTCCTCTAAATCGCCATGTAAGAAAGCATTTTGAACGTCCATCTGATGAAGTTCCCAATTCTTTGCAGCCGCAACGGCAAGAAAGGTGCGTACGGTGCACATTTTTGCCGTAGGAGCAAAAGTCTCCTGATAATCTATGCCTTCAACTTGATTATTTCCCAGTATCACCAATCGCGCCTTGTATCGTTCAACACTTCCATCAGAATTGTACTTAATTTTATACACCCACTTGCTCCCAATTGCTTTCTTTCCAGGCGGCAAATTTTCGACTGTCCATGTGCCATTATCTTCTAAAGCCTGTATTTCTTTACTCATGGCCTCTCTCCACCGTTCATCTTTAATCGCTTCCGCATAAGAGTTTGGTTCATGTCCTGCAGTAATTGCTGCCAAGAAACACCGGTGTTGCGCAGAAAATTTTTCATAACTCACATAACGTGCTATAGAATAAGGCGTACCTGAGGAATCAGATTGGGTAGATGAGCATGTCGAGGGGCTTATTCTGATGGCGTTTGTCACATAATCTTTCAAACGAACAGAAGGTTGCTTGACCCTTTGTCCCCTGCCTAGCTGCTCTTCGACGACTTCACTTCTTTCCACGTCCTCATTGTTTGTGTGGATCAATTCCTCCATTTCTTGATTCACTTCATTTTCTCTATCTACACTTTCGGCGACGACTTCACTTCTTTCCACGTCCTCATTGTTTGTGTGGATCAATTCCTCCCTCAAGTCACTTTTTAAATCATCAACTTCATCACCCAACTCCATAACTCTATTTTTAATGAGTTCATCACTTACTGTTTTCTCATCAGCATATGGAAATTCCGTTTCAGCAAACACTACATCTCTTGATACAAAGTATTCATCAGCTTCTAAATCATACAATCTCCACCCTTTCTTTCCCAACGGATAACCAACAAAAATACACCGACGACTTCTACTAGCAAATTTATCTTTATCCCGATTCTGATTATGCGCATAGCACAAACAACCAAAAATCCGAATATATTTGTAAGAAGGAGGTTGGCCAAAGATAATCTCATATGGGGTTTTACCATTCAATAATATAGATGGAGTCCTGTTAATCAAATACCCAGCTGCGAGTACACATTCTCCCCAAAATTCTACGGGTAAATTTGCTTGGAAACGCAAAGCTCTTGCAACATTAAGGATATGGCGATGCTTTCTTTCCACTCGGCCATTTTGTTGAGGTGTTCCAACACAAGAAGTTTGATGCAATATCCCATGTTCATCAAAATATTCTTTCAAACACAAAAATTCACTTCCGTTATCACTTCTAACGATTTTCACATTTTTCTCAAATTGGCATTTAACCATCGCAACAAATTTCCTAAGAACACAAGCCACTTCATTTTTTCCATTCAGCAAATATATCCACACAGCACGAGAGTAATCATCAACAATTGTCAAGAAATAAATTGCTCCACATGAAGCTGGGACTCTATAAGGTCCCCACAAATCACAATGCATCAATTCAAAACAATCTTTAGCTTTATTGTCACTAGAAAAGAAGATCTCTCTTGTTTGTTTTGCTCTAAAACAAACCTCACAAGTTTTATTGGTTTTCCTAACCATTTTGCCAGCTTCTGGAATTAACTCCACCACCTTAGAAGAAGGATGACCCATTCTTTTATGCCAAAGTTCAAAGGATTCCATATCATCCACCTTGCAAGCATGTACCGAAGTCACTCCCTTGAGAAAGTAAAGCCCCTCGCGTTGCTCACCCGCTCCAATCAGGTTCCTCGAATTTAGGTCCTGTATAGCACATATTTTGTTAGTGAGTTGGATAACCAAATTTGAATCATTAAGAAGTTGTGATACAGAAATCAGATTGCATTTCAAATTGGGCACAAAAAGAACTCGTCGCAATTTCAAGTCTCCTCCAAGCAACACAGTTCCTTCTTTCCTTTGCCATGGTCTTTTCTCCATCGGGTAATTCGGTGAGCATGGCATAATGTCACGCAATTCTCTCAAAAATGCCAACGTTCCTGTCATATGGTGGGAAGCTCCTGTGTCAATAATCCAAGGAAAAATACTCTGCTTACCTATCAACCTCTCATGGGCACCATTCTGATGAGAACTTAACATTCCTAGCAAAGTCGCCCACTGCTCATCATTCAATCCACTAAGACCCTTTCGATCTGAATCCGTCACAACTCCTCGCCCACCATCAACTCCAGTTGCCTGTGAGACGTTGGCACGAGCACCTCCTCCCTTGTTTCGTCCACCTCTATTACCACGCTTTTGACCACTACCTTGTCCAGCAAAGGTTCCACGTGGTCTATTACCCCACCATTCTGGATATCCTATCAGCTGGAAACAACTTTCAGCATCATGTCCCTCTCGGTTGCAATTAGAACAAAACGGGATTTTATCTTTATCCCCCCTTGAATTTTGACCACCTGCCCGGATTGCAAAACTCATGGGATTGCCTCTTTCATCCTTGGTTCGTGTCATAGTTCGCACTCGCTCTTGCTGAACAACCATAGCATAGACACGATTCAGATTAGGCAAAGGTTCGGTGCTCAAAATATTAGCGCGCCTTGTTCCATATCCTTCTTCATCTAAGC